ATTTAATTTCATAACAAATTCCCAATATCCGATAGCCAACTTTCCATCTAACCTGGTCAAGAGCAACATCTTGGGAGTAAAATATCAAAATTTCAACATAGCATGTTGGCCTTTTTCTTGAGATAATCGTCTGCATGTGTCACCAATGTCAAAAATAAACTTCCGGGTCAGGGGTAGAGGTCAACACAGGACTTTTCACACAGCACCCTGCACCAAGAAATAAATGCACAATATAAAAATTTGACACAGAAATTGTTAGATTGATATCTCCACAGTATTTTAACACCAAACTTTTACACAAACACCAAGTTATAAGAGGCATAGTATAGTTTTTACTAAAGTACCTATATTTCTAAGGGACTTCATTCGTGGGTACTGAACCCGGAAGCATTTAATTGTGACCTCAGTCCAAGTAGACGCCTGTAGCGCTCTCATATGCCACTAAACTCGACAAAAATTGCCTTTTGAATCCTTTGACAGGTATGTTTCTGTTAATCTAGACAGTTGCCATTGTGTTGAACTACAAATATTAACGCCATTAGCTCAAAAGCTTAGTAATGACATATAGTAAATGATTTAGTTGTGTGAGCCCTTTAACTGTAGCACAGCTGGGCCAGGACACGTCAGACCAGATTACTCAGTCGGTTAGACAGATGGTACAAGTATGTGAATTCCAGGATGCGAAATCCACATTGGCCCCTTTGTATTAACCCAAGGATTTATGATAAAATTTACTGTGATTCTAACTGCTTATTATCGAAATACTTCCATAAAACTTACTCTTTATTATCAATTAAATATTATGAATTGTTTCATATTCAGTAACTGGAAATTAGATAAGACAATTCTATGGAAAATGTCTGCAATATTTTACCTTATCGGTTATCTGTACTTCAATAAATCCTTTGTGATATTTGAGATAAGAGTCACGTATGTAGCTTGACATCAATGTGTTTAAGAAAGTTAAAATGTCGTTGATTCATTATTTCGCGGCGAGATCACGATATTTAAGAAAGTTAAAATGTCATTGTTTCATTATTTCGCGGCGAGATTACGACATGTAAGAAAGTTAAAATGTCGTTGTTTCGTTATTTCGCGGCGAAATAACGACATTTTTTACTTCTTAGATGTCGTGATCTCGCCGCGAAATAACGAAAAGACGAAAGAACGACATTTAGAACACGAAATAACGACAGTTGATCGCGTAATTATTTCGTCTTTTCGATTGACTTTTGTCGTCTTTTCGACGAGATGACGACAATTATGATACAAATATGATGTCCTTATTTCGCCGCAAAATAACGAAACAACGACATACAATAATTTAACGAAATGACACAAATAAGCCACCATAATTTGCTGTGTTTACTTACGACAATAAAATATAACATAGCACCAGACAATTACTACACTATCATCAGTATACGACAGTAATAGCCTATAGTAGGATGTTGTGTCAGTCCTGACGAACCTTTTATAAAGGGTAGCTATTAGACTTTAACAGCGTTTTGACGCGAGTCACAACAATTTATATACATATATAACGGGGTATTGTGTTTCTGTCCGAGCATTGCTGATAACGAGTCCTTAAGATATACATGAAAGATAATATGTACCGTGATATTCTTTTCATTTCCCATCTACCTATGTTATTATGCCGTCATGTAGGCATTTAGTGTGACTTTTATTGTAGTTTATCCGCGATTTAAAAATACAAATCACAAAACACATCTGTCTCTACAGCTGCTGACGATCAAGTGTATTTGTTCTCCACAATATGTAGATGATGGTTGTCTTGGAGACATTCCATACAAATGCGCCTTGATAGATTACCACCGCTACACTGTGGGGGAGATTGTCACTTCTCTGTCGACGGCTAACAGGAACAACACGAAACAGGAGAAGGTATCGCGCAAGTGTTAGTAAGCACCGTAATACCGCACAAATCACAGAAGTGTCGATATTCGGACGTATACAGTGCAGTGTGGCGACATGTGCGTGAATATTATGAAGATTCTGTCATAAATTGGGGATGTGACTCCAACCTAGCTACGGTATAAAGTCAAACTGTCGAATAGATTTTATAATATTAACTATATCTTGTGTAGCGGAACTGGAATGGGTGCTTCGCCGGCGACCAGGTAATTTTGTTTAAAACAAGTTATTAATTATCTGGAACAAACCCAGTTTAAACAAAAATGTGTTAAAGTCGGTCATTAAAGAAAAAACACGGACAATTCAAGAAAAGTCGGCCAAGATCCCGACATTCGGAAATTCTCAACGTCATCTTCAAGACATGTTTGTTGTTCACCATGCAGTTGCCTTTGACATTCTTTTAGTTTTGCACAAAATCAAGAAAAAAAAATGCAAACATAATTTGTAATATTTGAGTTATTAGTTTTAAAATAAGGAAACATGTCAACGTCTTGTATATTAACAAATATATCCAAAGGAATTATAACCGAAAGTTAGTCTTAACATTTTGCGCTGAACACGATTCCAGAAAATTAATTCATTATTGAAAATGGCAGTTCATTTCTCTCCAAAGATATTTTCTTATGCCGGAAATAAAAATTCAATGCTAATTGCCTTTTCTAGCTGAACACGACTGCAGTAAATATCATATATCAAATACAATAAAACAATAACTTACATTTTTAACCAGATACGCCTCAAACCTTTGTATGAGACTTTTATCAAAAACCCGACTATACCGGGATCACTCTGTCCACGTGATGGAGATGTCAAAAATCAATCAATAATCAATTGTGTGCGCGCCCGTATTTGTTAACGACACAGTGTTCGGATATTTACCTAGAGTATTATTAACGCTGTGGTACATTTTTGTATTAACCTTGAGTTAAGACAATGTCTGTGTTTATTAACGCTGTGGTACGTTTTTGTATTGACCTTGCGTTCAGACATTGTCTGTGTTTATTGACGCTGTGGTACGTTTTTGTATCGACCTTGTGTTCAGATATTGTCTGTGTTTATTGACGCTGTGGGACGTTTTTGTATCGACCTTGAGTTCAGACATTGTCTGTGTTTATTGACGCTGTGGTACCTTTTTTGTATTGACCTTGAGTTCAGATATTGTCTGTGTTTATTGGAGCTGTGGTACGTTTTTGTATTGACCTTGAGTTCAGACATTGTCTGTGTTTATTGGAACTGTGGTACGTTTTTGTTTGACCTTGAGTTCAGACATTGTCTGTGTTTATTGACGCTGTGGTACATTTTTTTATCGAGCTTTATTAATTTAAACATTTTTGTACTCAATCGTGCAAATGTATTACAAAGATATTGATTTTAACTGTTTTTCTCTATATTGTCCACTCATTTGATCCAAACAATGCCCGATATTATCACGAAGAAATGAATTATTTAATGATATCCGTCCCATTGAACTGTGGTTGTTCGTACGTGCGGTTACCTCCCCTTAATGTCGGTCTGGACACAAATTACGTTGATTTAGTAGATAAGTCAGTTAGGACGGCAGTATCGCAATATGAAACCCTGGGTTCGACTCCCGGTCAAGTCTTGTTAATTTTACTTACAAAACGCTGTCGATGATTATGTTTGGTTTATTCAACCTTTACCTTTTTCCATGAGGGTTTCGTAAGTACAAAGTTCTTTTCAAAAATGATTTATCAAAGCTTCAGTTATGCCGAAAAAAAAAAAATCAGTTTCCAATAAATTGTCGCTGATACGGGCATCTTAACCTTAATTCAACACTAACAGAATATAATATATCGATATCACAAGGATGACGT